GAACTATAGTAAATTCACAGTATTTTGGGGCTGCAACAAGCTGTTAATGTCACTGTCAATACTTATTTTATTGAAGTTTTATTTTAGGTTTTGGAAATTTTTGTTTAAAACAAATTTTCCCTAAAATTATTTGAGAACTTCATTTTATTTTTCTTGTCTATTTATTCCTTTTGTTTTCTTTTTAAACTTTTTAAAAGGAAACTTAACAACGCTGGTGCCGTGGCTCATTCAGTTTGGCGAATTGTCCAAATTATTTTTAACATGTTAAAAAACACTCGAAATCGAAAAAAAATAGATAATTGAAAATCATCCTTATATTGTCAATTCTTTACATGTAATATCTAATAGTGTCTCCACGGGGGAGCATTTATCCTGGATTAATGGATTACCTTAAAGAAAATAAAGAAACAAAAAAAGTGTACAATTTTAAATAAGAAATAAATTATTAAAGTGGCACTTTGTAACACACACGATCCTACAGGTGTCACCGTCACTTTCTGCGACCAACTCAACGAACTAACTAATGCATTCGTTTTAATTCGATTTGATGAAACAAAACATTTAAAGAGAAAAACTAGATAAAAAATAAATAGGATAAGAAGATCCTGCTCGTATTCATACTTCAACACTTCTCTCAAATAAGGAATCACAATTTATGAGCTAATGTGGGCATATTTTATTTTGAAGCCTTCAAGCCCTGTAAATTAATTAAAGTAAACTAAGTAAATTCCATATCTGCCTCATCCTATCACTCCATGAAGATGGTTTTGCTTTTTGATCCCACAAAATTGTTCAGAAATCAAATATTGATCCAGGTGTTTTTGACAGGGTCCAGGCGAGACACCATGTCCAGGATGAAACTAAGGCTGACATTTTACAGTTGGTGGGTTATTTTATTTAATTTCATTTATTTAATTTCATTTATTTAGTTGAGCTAAAGTTAAAAGGGACAATGCAGACCCAAGGGGAGGAGGCTGCAGTGAGGAGAGGGAGGGAACACTCCTCTCATGCAGCTTCTGTTCAGTTTGACGCATCCACAGTAAAATAACATTGATCAGTAATATGCTTCTACAAATTAAATCGTATTTACAGTTATAAATAATCAAGATTATGCATTTTTAAATTTAAATAAAGCTTTTCCACCTTCAGACTCATCAGGTGACAGCGTCCATGCAGGTTGCAGGGAAACTACCACCATGATCCCTTTTAAATAAAACAGCAGAGCTCCACGAGGCCTGATTCACTCGTAGTTTATTCATAGTGTGTTTTAGAGGTTCAACCTGTCTCCAGTGATCTGGGTGAAAAACACGTGATAACACTATTTACACCATTCCAACAAAGCAAAATGTTGAAATTAGAAATTCAACAAATGAGATTTTGAGTAAAAATCAACTATAAGGGACGCACGTGAATTTCTCAAGTCAGAACAACCTTTGGTTCACAAGCAATTTTCTATTTTCACGAGTGGGCTAATACAGTTATCGGAAATGAATCAGTCATCTCTAAGCTCTATATGATGACCTCATCAAGAGACAAAAGGTTCATCCAAATATCGTCAGATCACCCAAGTATTGACGCGCACCTACCATTCACACTCAACACGGCCCCATTACTGCAAATTAATAGATTAGTATGGCATTATTCCTCTGGCACATATCGATCCGCAAACGTCTGCAGCGCACTGCGTCAAGTAAGAGCAACGCTCGCATGCACGACGCTTTCGGATCAGCTCATGACCTTGATTTGCGCGCATAAATTGAAAAAATTACCACTCGATAATTTCCATTTGTGCGACATCTTTATGTAAAGGAGAAAAGAGAGCGGGGGCCAAAATCAGATAAAGCACATTTGCAGGGGAAGGGGGCAAACGGACGTGACCGAGGACTTCGCTCGGTGTGTTGCATTAAAATGGAGAGCTGAATGGGTAATTTTGAGCCTCCCCATCCTGGTTTTATAGTAGTGTCAGTTTGGAGACACACAAGTGGCCCTGACCACCTCGCTAGTCTCATCTCTGTCGCAGCTGGGAACTGCTCATGGGTGTTGGGTGATAAGTTTGCTATAGAGAATGTTAAAGGCTGTGTACAGACATTAAAGCGTTTGTGTTGGAGGTTTTGTTATGACAGAAGCCTGAAGAACAGATTCTGGCTGTGCGTCATGGAAAGAGGTTTTCTGAAGTCCCTGTGGATTGACAGAGGGTTCCCTTGTACCAAGACTGAAACCAAATGAGTCCAGTGTTATCAAGAGGTTGATATATGATAGAACTTTTAACAACTCATATCCCAAAACATACATCCTCTGATGACTCCCTCAGGCAAGATGTGCGTAAAAGTTCATTTAAATCACCTCTCACCTTCCTTGCTTCGTTTTAGTCCTTTGCCACACATCCCCCCTGCGATAGATGATGATATTTTGTTCGTGACTTCTGGTGCTCAGGGGCCACACAGGAGTGATACGAGCACCTCGTGTGTCCCCCAAAGCCCAAAGTGTTTGAACAACTCTTTTTGACACATCTCGAAAGAGGGAAATCTCGCTTTAAACCCATCCCATTTGCTTTCCTGATTGAATGCGAGCATCAGATTTTCATCAAAGTTCTATTAAGTGAAACATAGGTTGCGGGGCACCGTCTGATTGGAACAGTTTAAATTTTAATTGTGTTTTTAATTTGACATATAGTTGCTGTGAAGAATGACACTGAAACGCCGAGGGGCGGTCGATTTTCTTAATTTCTCCCCGAGGAATTGATGAGTCTATCAGGGCAGTAGATTGGAAAGCCATTAAAACTCAATGGTTAGGTTGTTAATTGGAACTTGATGGATAGGAGCCCTTGGATAGGCTGTGCTGATCCAATCTTCCTGACTTTGTGTTTTCCAATAAATTACCCAGTTCATTTCCACACTTAGATTACATAAATTGTACACCTCCAGGGCCTGGGCGCTTTGCTTGCGTTTACAACTCTCTCTCTTTCTCCTCCCCTCTCTCTCTCTCACACACACATGCGCGCACGGACGCACACAAACGCCCCGTGAAAAAAGAGCAGGCCTCGCTTTCTTGAATGAAAATCGAAACATAATCAACGTTTATACTTAGAAAATTTATTGATATCATTTTCTCTGGTAATTTCCTTATTCTAGACCTGGACACGCCATATATCATAATACACGCGTGTAAAGGCTCTTTGTTTAATATTTATCGAAGCTTGATTCCCAGATCAGAGCGCCTCATAACTTCATCTGTCTTTCTCAGACCTTTCTCTGCTGCTAAAGATCTTGTTCTGTTATTGCGGTAGGGCGGCCATACACCACCTATCACTGTGATAGAGCACGAACTTAGGGCCTCGCTTGTTTGGGCCTCATCGTGCAGCCAGGGCTGGATGAGACTGCAGGGATGAACATTTCCATATAATACAGGACGCCACTGCTCGGTCTATAAAAACGCCAAATCTGAGCCTCTGACATAAAAAAAACAACGCGTGTAAATCATGCTCTGCAGCCATGTGGTGTCCACTGTCTCTCTGCGATGAAGCAATCTCACTTTGCTAAAAGTCGTCTGAAAGTGATGAAGGCGGCGGCGCTGACAAAGGTCTTTGTTTGAAAAGAGCGGCATATAAAATAAACCCATTTAACTGTCATTGCAGATTTCACGCCTTATGTGTAACCACCATAAATCCAGCACCCGCACCGACTGCCCTCATATATTTGCCCCCCTCTCAGTAAAGCCTCCCCTGCGTGGGCGTTTTGTTAAGATCGTTTAGCAGCTGCTTGGCCCCGCTGCCAGTGCGAGATATTTACGCGCGGATCCAGATGCGTCTGTCTGTCTGGCTGTTATGATGATGACGACAGAATCCGCTGTCAGCATCATCACCACCGTCAGCATCATCAGCACCATCATCGCCGGCGTCTTCTCCCTCTTCCAGCCTGATTCTCCACCGAATGCCGGTTGTGTGGCTACCGGGGGAAGAGCTGACATGATGATTAAAGCTGACCATTTGTAATGTGTCTGGGGCTCCCGCACAAAGCAGTAAAAGAGGGATAATGTGCCCGAACCGCCAGATCAAGCCCCGCAGCTGTCCCGCAGACACACACACAGAGAGGGAGAGATAGAGCATGGGTGGTGTGGTGGGAGGAGGTGGGATGCTCGCCCCCACCTCTCACAACACGCACACGCAGCCCCCACCATCTCCAATCAATTAGTCAATCAATTAGCCGGCCTCCACTCCACGCGCGGCCATCACGAGGCAGATTAGCTCCGTAATGATCAAATTAATTCTTAATCGCAGATAATGGACGCGGAACGAGTTTATTATTTCCAGGGAAAAAGTAGTAAGGCCTCTGTGTTAGTTCCAAATCTGTACGCGTGTCACCGTCACCCAATGTGAGGATATTGGTTTGCATGCATGAAGCAATCCTCGGTTGACTGAAACTGGTTGTACAGGTGACATGTTGCACATGAGCAACATTAGATAACAAAACTAAATCTGCGTAAATCTGCCATACCTGTGCCACAAGAGCTGCAATATTCTAAAAGGCAGATTGAGTGAAACTCTATTATTATAAATAATCTCATATTTTCTTGAGGCAAAATGTGACACTTAAAAATTAACAGCCACGTTTACTTCATTCAAAACCATATTAGCCTGTGGGATAGACAGTTGTGAGGATTGAAGGTTTTAAAAGTTAAAAAGTATGAGCATGCTTATGTTAAAATTAGAAATATTACTGTAACTGTTCCAAATGCAGGGCTGAGCAGTGTTGGTCCCCCTCAGTCCCCTCGCTCTCCCCTTCCCATCTCAAAACATTGACAGGAGTTTGAAATTTCCGGGCTTGAGTCGGAGGCTGCCATTGGCCCAGGAGGAGGTTACCTACATGCAAATGAGGCGACGAAACCTTGCTGCCTGCGATCCAGAGCGTGAGGAGGAGGACCAGGAATACACTCATGTTCCCCGAGCTCTAGAAAAAACAAGCTCAATGTTAAAACTCCACAATTAAACAGGCGAAGGGGGAAAAGGGGAGAGAGGGGGGACAAAAAGGCGCTTTCGTAATTTTTACGCACCAGAAAGCAATAACGGAATACAAGGGGGACAGACCGATTCAGTCAATACTTCAATTCTGTTATGAAGCGAGAATGAGCAACGCAGAAGACAGCGGGAGCAAGTGCTCGTCGGGCCCGATTTCCAGCTTTACCATCCAGTCTATTCTGGGCACGCCGTCCGATGCGCCTCGCTCCGGGACCAAGGCTCTCTCCAAGGGTCCGCCGCCTCCACCGCCGCTGCCTGTGCCGCTGCAGCGAAGGCGCTCGCTGTCGGTGTCCTCCGAGGACGAGTGCAGCGGCGGGGAGGACTCAGCGGACTGCTTCTGCTCCGACACCGGTCACAGCGAGCCATGCAGCCAAGCGCACAACTTCTCATGTTTAGGTGAGGATTATGATTATTTTCTATTCGTCTATTATTGTTATTACTGTCACTGCCAAATTTCTAGAATAATATTATTATGAGGAAATGAAACAAATGGTCAAAGTGATGCATAAATAATTGAAATATTTTTGCACACATTTGTTGACACTAAAGTGATTTATTTACACTATGAATGTCATGAAATCAGGCACAATTAGTTGCCTTTTATTTATAAATAAACAACCAGCCTGTTTATTGTTTTTGTTTGCACTTGAGCTCACATTTCATCAGCTTGTGTTGGTGCCACTCACACGCAGCTCATGCACTTCCACTTGTTTGTTATGTGCAGACACTATCATCCTCCTCATCATCACAGCGGTAGAGGAGTGGAAGGTCGAATAATTACCTCCCCCTGTCTTTCCTCTCGTTTCAAATTTAATTGAGCCCACTAATTGATGAAACCTGTTTCCAAAATGGCTGCACTACACGCCGTCAATTGAGCGTTAAATCCACGGAGCAGAGATTTAATTAATAGCTTATACTGTACACTCTGGATTGTTTATTTAAAAAAAGTCACCGGCTCGCAGCAGCAGTCGATTTAACAAGTCAGAGTTCACACTTGACGAACTCTCAAACTGAGTATGTTAAAACAATGTAATATAATTATTCCCCCCTCAGTAAAAAGCATGGTGAAAATATATTTATTCATAGTGTGCCTCTCTTCTCGTGGTGCGTTCAGGTGCCGCTAAAGGACTCATGTCTGGGAGCGACGCGCTGGCACGGCGGCCGCACCTTGCGCACCAGCCTCTGCTGAAGGACTATAAGGAGGAGCAGGAGCGGCCGTGCCACCAGATGTCACCGCTGTCGGAGGAGAGACACTCGGACGGCGCGGACAAGACGGGCAACTCGGCCAAGAAGAAGACGCGCACGGTTTTCTCCCGGAGTCAGGTGTACCAGCTGGAGTCCACCTTCGACATGAAGCGCTACCTGAGCAGCTCGGAGCGGGCCTGCTTGGCCTCCAGCCTGCAGCTGACGGAGACTCAGGTCAAGACGTGGTTTCAGAACCGGAGGAACAAATGGAAACGGCAGCTCTCGGCCGAGCTGGAGGCGGCCAACATGGCCCACGCCTCCGCACAGACACTGGTGGGGATGCCGCTGGTTTTCAGAGATAACTCCTTACTGCGCGTCCCCGTCCCGCGGTCTATCGCCTTTCCGACGCCCCTGTATTACCCGGGGAGCAACCTGCCAGCGTTACCTTTATACAACCTGTACAACAAGATCGAGTATTGATTGACTCTACTGTATGTTCACCACTGCAGTCCACGTAAAAAAAAACTCATTACTACAATACATTCATATAAGTGTCTCCACATTAACCCCTGTATATCAATTGTACCACTTTATTTGTTGAGGAACTTATTATGCAGCAGCTGTGCGTCTCACGAGAAAGCCACCAAGCTTCCCTATATGTATAAAAATACACCATGTGTATAATTAATTATAATAATTTTGTATTTTTATTGTATTTTTCTCCTTTAACTGGTAAAACACTGGAGTTTAGGATTCATATCACGATGGAGAAATGTTTTTTTAATTCATCACAGGTTCGTTGAACAAATTGCAAAACAGCAGTCAGTCATTTTATTTCACCTGACAGGAACTAATACTGCTGACAGGAAGAGAACACTTCTTCCATTTAAAGGGGAAAATACCATCGTTTCTATTGTAATTTAGATCTTCAATAATAACCTTCTCATTCAATAAATTTTCTATTTCAGTGAAAATTGGGCTGGCTTGGTTTTATTTTATGCAATGTTTATTTTTGTGTGCTATGACTTTACTGTTAACAGGACTGCATTTTTGGCACGGACGGTAAATATTTAGTGAAAAAGGCAAATGTTATTTTTTACTCAGTTATCTTAAAAAAAATGTGTCTTATAAAAAAAAAAATCATACAAACACATTCTATTATGAGGCATTAACAACCCATGATAATCTACTATATTAAAGGATCGTGATACTTTTATTAGCTGCTCTCAAAATAAGTGAGGAAAAAGAGCTGGTGGGAATTATATAAAAATTGTATTTTACATAAATGTAGACTCTTACATCTTTACCCCTTACCATTACATCAACTGTTTTTTGACAGGTGCATTTCAATTTAATCTCTGGACGTTTTTTAAAATGGATGTAATATGAAGTGTAACACAGTCGTCCCTCTGCGAGACTCGTACTGTAGCTTCCATATTTGTTTGACTCCTGAGCAAATGGGCCTGCAAGCAGAATAAAATATGAAGATGGGTCTGAACCCTGCAGATGTTTTCATTGTACAGAGACTTTTAAACTCATGCTTTCAGATTTTGAATTTAAAATCATTGCAACTGAACATGTCAATGTATAAATCAAGAGTTTGCTAATATGAGCAACTTGCCTTCTAATACACTTATAAATAAATCTAAGTAATCTAAGACGTAAATTAATGGTGGAAAAGTCAGGCACACACTATCACAAGCCAATGGTGCCTTTGGGCGGGATCTTCTCTCATTTGAAGTCTGCCTCCCGCGGCTCTCCAGCATCAGGCCTTGTAAGAGGAAACCTAATAAAGAGGCATATTGTCAAAGTTCAAGACTCTTGCTGTCATTAATCGAAGCCGTTCTCTCTTCTACATCTGTGTAATGAGTTACTGTATCAGTTACACTTGTGACTGTCCTGCTAATTCAGAAGCCAGTTTAGATTTCCACGAGGTCCAGAGCGCCGAATCAATTCCCACTGTCAAAGTTTAATTCACTAACTCATAACAATTCAACCCATGCAAACACAAAACAGCGACCTATACTCATGTCCTCACTGCAGAGCGCACACGCACACGCACACGCACACACACACACACACACACACACACACACACACACCAATGTCGTGGTTGATGGGGAGCGATAAAACTGTGTCATGTGGCAGCTTTTCTTGGGTGTCACATTATCCACAGGGGACCCCCACCACTGCACCACCATGCAGCACCCACCCAACCTCTTCAACGCATCCCACCAATCTCTCACTGTGTGCTAATGGCTACATTACCTAGCAGAATCATGACTAGCTAGGCTCCGCTGCCCTGCAGATTATGCCTGACCCAATTTCTGCAACAGCCGCCCTGTGTTTCTGGGAAAATGGATAGCGTTAGACAACAGCAGTGATTTATGGGTAACTCCGGCAGCACCAGCGAAGAGGTGAGGTGCAGGGGGATGAATATGTGACAGATAGGAGAGGGAGAGAGAGACAGATAGGGAGAGGGATTGGGGACCGTAGCGCTTATGAAAAGGAGCAATAGCTTTGGTAGAATGAAGCTGTTTATTAGTTTCCAAGTGGTCATTATGTCATCAGGTGTGACGGCAATGCAACACTCTTTTGGATGGATGTTTACACCCCGCTGACTTGTGGGAAATCTGCATGACCTGTCACCTGAGGTTGTTTGATTTACAAAACAGGGAGAGAGAGACAGAGGGAGAGAGAGAAATGTGTGGAGATGAGCAAAGAAGAGAATAAGAGGCCGAGAGAGAGAGAAAGTGAAAGGAGGAATACAGTAGGTGTGAGGTATATAGGGGAAGGAGTTCCATGTTACTATGTATCACTGCAATGGCAGGTGTGAATTACAAATTTTAATAGCCGGGCAATGAAAATGATTTGAAGTGGTTTAAACTGCAAAGAGACAGCGACTGGCATGGTGATGAAGATTTGTTGAGATGATGTGTTGTGCCTTAGGATTCATCAAACCTGCCTGGTAAGGTGAAAAGCAAGTGTAATTCACTCCACGCCGTAATTTATGATGGGAGTAATGGAAACTGTGGGTTACACACAGTGTGGAGAGGGAGCTGCAAAGACGGAGAGAGCACTGGGTAAATTGATTCTCGGGACAGTTTTTAGAGCATATTTACAGGATCATAATGAATTATACTAAAACCTGCGGATATCACCTCTTTTTACATCTTGAGATAAAATGATAGAGATCAAAACTAACTTAATAGAGATGCCATTACATTTAATCAGGCTGCAACAACATTATATATCACTTTACTTTTTTTTTTTAATTTACAATGTTCCCTCTACTATATGAAGATCTCTTTTTTTTACATGTCCCATCCCTTCATCACTTATTTGGCTGAGGGCTTTTCAACTGCCTCCCAACATATTTACAGCCATTTGATTTAAAGAGGGAATACGGGGCGTCATTTTAGAGTGGGAGGTTATGAAGTTTAACACCGAACGAGCAGATGCAGAGCCGTGGATCTGCCCCGAGACAAGAGTTTTAAAAGCGATCGCGATGCATTAAGCCAGACAACTCTCAAGACCTGTTTGCTCCCTAAATGAATTTGAGGGGAGAGTAACAAGGTTTTTGAGGCAGGCCCTGTCATCCGCCTGCTTTAACCAGCTTCTGTATTTATGGGTTAATGGTTAAAAAGGAGAGCTTGGACCAGAAGCGATTTTTCATGATTCTGTTTTATATCAACTGGAAATGAAGGAGCTGAAGGGAAATTGTGTTTGCCCCCCCTCCTCCTTCTCCCAAGCCCAAACCCTTTCTGCTTATCAGGAGAAGAACATGTTACTGTACGAGGAGAAGGGAAATAGTAAATACAGAATATGGATAAAAGGTTTAAAGCATAAAAACTCTGACAAGCTGTGAATAAAAACAGATTTCAAGTTTGTTGAAACCAAGTTATCTTAAACTCATGTCTAACAGTGTCAACATAACATACTCTGAGATGTTTGTCAAAATCAAATCCAAGCAGCGCTGCTGCCACAATGAAAGCATTTGTATCCCCAAGTTAAAAAATCCCCAAAAATCTGAAATGGGGCTTTAATGGCAAAATGCATTATGCTCTATTGTTAGATTACCAACCATTTCTTGAACTGCACGATTTGAAGCCCCATTCCCCGTCCAATATGCATCAAACTATTTCAGGCTACAGCACGTGTGGAGAACTCAGCTATTACTCTAGAGATAAGTCCATTAGCATTACCTTTGACGCAATAATGGATGTAAGATACAATTTTCTGCTCTCCATTTTGTATTTGTAAGGATAATAGGGGGATTATCTTGAAGGCCTTATGCTACACACTCAAGAGGGAGACCACATGGAGGACAGAGAGCTCTGCAACAGTTGTTTTCACATCCTCCCCTCGCTGCCCCGGCCCTTCCCTCTGCTCCAGAGAGAGGCCAGGAAGATAAAGCATGTCATTATTCTATTAAAGACCTACAATTTTTGTAATGGGACTTGCAGCGGTCGGCAGAAGTGCAGGCAGCTTCTTCAATATCCTGGACATTATTTGCTCGTTTAGTTAAATGATGTTTCTAATTCCCTCATAATTACTTGTAATGAGGCTGTCTCCCTCATTTTGACTTGGCTACATCTTAATACAGCATGGCATTCTCTTTTAGGAATAATTACCTCTCATGAGGCCGGGGAGCGAGGCTGGGGTTTGTTGTGCGCTGCACATGTGGCAAATTGGCTTGTTTCCTGCCATCTTCTCTTCCCGCAAATTGGTAAATTAAGTTTCTCGGCTGGAGCATCAGAACTGTTAAGTTTGCTTTCTTGGCTCCTTCAAATGATTGGCTACACTGACGAGGAGATATTCTGGGTTTTGTCTCATTAAATGTCGACAGTTTATTTACACAGTGTACTGTTTATTTATAGTATACAGCGAATGTTACGGCAGCTGGTTGAAGAAAAAACATATATTCCAGATCACAGAGTAACAACTATATGTAGCAATCATAAAACAACTCTTAATCTTTTTTTTAATTTTTGTAATTTTACATGATTCATTTAATTTATTTAAGAGAAAGGCTTGTATTTGAAAGTAATTTATATTAAAATTTATTTGCAAGGAAATTAACACTGGGAAAAAATAAGGTTCTTTATTATAGGCAGGTAGTGCCATTAAATACAGTCGCATGGCTGCTGTGTCAACAAAGTCAGCAGAGCCTAATTTCCATATCATCAAGGGAGATGTTTTTTTTCTAATCTCAGGGATAATACAAAAACTATTATCGTATGTCAAGAAATTTGAATTTGAAAAGTAAAAAAAAGGTAGTATTTATCATCCCAGTCTTTGCTGTACGTTAGCAGACCTGTCTGCGATGTCCCTCTGAAAATATCCAGCTGCCGTACTCCAACCGCAGCCGTTGCAGGGTTGGCTGAGGGGTTTTTATTTCTAAGTGCTGATGTGTCGCAGACAGTTTGGCTCTACAAGGGCCTGTTATACGCCGATTAAAGAGAGGGAAGGAGTGCTCCCGCAGGGCGGCCTTGTACATTTACCCTGACCACAAAAAGGTCTAACGTTTACGCCCCAGTGCTGACATGACCTTCAAACAAGGTCCCTCTGCTGCCTGGGTAGATACTGGAACTGTCTGGAGGAGACCCGCGGTGAAACGAACAGACAGACAGGAAGAAATCATATCTTTTGTATCAGGAGTGACCTGCCATATCCTGAGCAGTCAGAAGATACGGCTTTCATTAGGAAATACAGGAAAGGGTAGTTATTTTCTCACTTATAGGTCAAATGTGATTGTGATTTTCCAAAAAGCTCTTGTCAGTTTTAGTGAATAATGGAACATGATATAAGAAGGATCTTTTTTCCATTAAAATCGCCTGCGTTGAACAAACTGATAAACACAAAGGGCCACTAAATAATTCAGATCTAAATCCAGTCATCAGTGGGTTGGAGACAAACACATCACCTGCTTATGTTTTTATTTGTGAGAGCACAGAGAGATTTTCAAGTGATCCTCTTGTCTTTGCTGGGTCAGTGATCTGTTTGTTATGAGATTTGATATAGAGCTCTTTTTAATATGGAGAGTTTGGGATCTCTTTGTAAAGACCAAGTGGTCTCTTTCAGCTGCAGGGGTCTGGTGTATAGAGAGATGATCTGTCACTTCAGTCTGAGACCGACTGCTGACCACATAGCCTGCAGCACGGCAGCAGGGAGTACAATGAAAGCAGCACACTATCACCTGACAGCTAATTAGAGATCACTCCCCTGGAAGGGAATACATTGTCTTTGAGGGAGTGAGAGAAAGAAAGCAAGAGGCTGTTGAAATCCATGTGAAGTGTCAGTCAAAGCCACATGGCACCTGCAATTTGTAAAGGAAGAGAACTCCGTTGATTTGCTGATAATTTCTGGATACAACTTGTACATTGTTAATGCTCTACCACTATGATAGTAAAACAAGTGAGCTGGCTTTAGAGAGTTCAATTTAAAC